AGAAAAAATTAAAAAAATAAAAAAATACATTTACGAAAAGAAAAAAGAAATCTAAAAAAAGAAAAATTTAAGAAAGGTAAGAAAGAAAGAATTTAAAGAAAATGAAAAAATATTTTAAACAGTAAGAAAAACCAAATTCCAAACTTTGAAAAGATTTTCCAACTCCAAAGTTGGGTGAATTTTCCCAATTTCTCCGAAGGGGGGAGTAGGGAGTGCGCTTTCCGGTGAGTTTCGGGGTCGGTGCAACCGTGAGAGGTTTGTGCAATAGTGGCTGGGGGGGGGGGGGGGGGGGGGGGGGAGGGGAGCAGGGAAGGGAGGTGGAGAAGATGTGACCGGCAGAGAGTCTACAAACCGAGCTGCTGAGAAGTCGAATCAGATGATTAAATATTAAATATTTGCTACGGCAGAATCAGCGGAGCTTGTGCTTTTATGGGTGAGAGATGACAAGACAACCCAACAGGGGAGGATCATGATGTCCTGCGATGTGAGTTTAGGGGTTGAGCTCGCGGGTTGGCGTCTGTAGGTGAAAACCGTTGAGTTTTGGATGAATGTCAGAGCATGTGAACAGAAAGGTGTGAGTTGTGCACCAGGAAAGGCTTTGAAGCCCTGGGAGGTCGTTATGAGCTCTGTGTTCATTGTCCTATAAAAGAAGAACCATCCCTTCCTCTCTTCACGCTTTCACTGGTTTTAAGGGACTTAAGAAATTAACTACTTACCGATTTCTTTCCTCTGATCCACTGCAAACAAGAAAAACACACGGAGAGAAAGTGTTACTATGGATTCGACGTCAGTACGTGGTAACACTGCAGCATGGCTCTGGGTACAGAGAACTCTCTTAATACCAAAAATTCATCCATATCCTGAAATGCCGTATTTTAACCCGTGATTTCTGAAGTCACCGTGAGTTTCCATGCGGTCAGGTCTAAATGACATTCATGGTCATTCCTAAATGGGTTCCTGTTCTTCCTACGCGTACAAGGAACTTCCAACGCATAGGAGTTGGCTTTTTCCAACTGGAAAGGCTGAGAGGCACAAGCGATACGAGAGAATCTGTGGTACATCAGAGGGTGGCAGACATAAACATATAGCCAGGTCGTTAAAGCTGGAGGGAAATAAATTATGTGAGAAAAATATCGACAGGACCATTGGAGCTACTGGGAGTTATTCCCATGGATTAGGATTGGCTTAATCCTGGAAAGAGCTTCCTGAAGATTCATGTGACATATTTCCAAGGAATATGAAGAGCAAAATACATACAACTTTCAGTGCCAAGAAACATGAAAACATGGAGGCAACCAGAAAGACTCACCGTCCTTGGCACGCAGGTTCTCTGCCAGGTCGCCGTGGGCAGCAAGAGAAGAAGACACCAAGTCAGGCCAAGAACCACAATTTACAAACCAGTCCACTCTGGGACAAAAGTGACAAAAAGTGACAAAAAACCTGGCATGGTGGATGGCTCCTGCTCCTTGGAGCTGCATCTCACAAGCTTCTGACTCTGGTATCTTCGACCCCCCATCATTACCCACTTTTCCACGAGGCCCCAGGGCCGGTTGGTGGCTCAAGTTCTCCAGCCCCATCAGCCCCATCATGAGCTTCCCTCTCATCCTTCCTTCACTCTCCTGCCAGCACCAAATCCTCCAACCAGAACACCACAAGCAAAACCATGAAGACCCCCAAAACCTCACATGAGCTGGCTCACATGACCTCCAGGGAGACAGGGACACTCACCAATCTCCTTCTCCAGGTTCTCTGCAAGAAGAGGGGAGAAAAGAAGGACAACTTACCTAGAACCCCACCTTGAGTCCAAGGAAGACGGGGGGGAAAATCCTGGGTCTTATTTGTCAAGGCAGACGTGGTCTCTGCCAACACCCAACCCCAGCCATGGTTTCCCCAAACACAGAGCCCTGGTGGCAGCACACTGCACGCAGTCACCCTTTTGGCACCCCTTCCTGTCCCACCTTGCGCTTGGAGCTCCTCTACAAATGGGGGTTGTGGAGAAAGGGGAGCGATCAAGGCTGCCCAGGAAGGAATTGCTGCCAGAATTGGGCACGGGGCTCTCTCAGCTCTGGGAACAAAAATGTGTAGCCCCAGGGTTGTTGAGACCCAGTGCCTCCGTGCCCAAGAGCTTCTCTCCCAGCAGTGAAGGCATTTGGTGAAGAAGAAAGACTCACCATTCCTTGAACGCAGTTCCTCTGCCGAGTCACCGTGGGCACAGAAGAAGAAGATGACATCAAGTCAGGGTGAGAACCACAAGGTCCTTGCAAGCCAGTCCACTCTGGGACGGTCCACCACAGGAACCGATGAAAAACTCCTCTGCCATGGCGGATGGCCCACACTCCTTGGAGCTACCCATCATCAGTCTCCGACTGTATTTTTTGCCACCAACCACAAACACCCACTTCTGTACCAGGACCCAGGGCTGGTCAGGGACTTGGGCTCTCCACCCCATCAGCCACACCATGGCCTTCCTTCAACATCTCCTTCCAACATCTCCTTCCCTCGACATCTCCTTCCCTCAACATCTCCTTCCCTCAACATCTCCTTCCCTCGACATCTCCTTCCAACATCTCCTTCCTTCAACATCTCCTTCCCTTGACATCTCCTTCCCTTGACATCTCCTTCTCTCAACATCTTCTTCCCTCAACTTCTCCTTCCCTCAACATCTCCTTCCCTCGACATCTCCTTCCCTCAACATCTCCTTCCCTCAACTTCTCCTTCCATCGACATCTCCTTCCTTTAACATCTCCTTCCTTCAACATCTCCTTCCCTCGACATCTCCTTCCCTCAACATCTCCTTCCTTCAACATCTTCCCCCGACATCTCCTTCCTTTGAGATCTCCTTCCCTCAACTTCTCCTTCCTTCAACATCTCCTTCCCTCGACATCTCCTTCCCTCAACATCTCCTTCCTTCAACATCTCCTTCCCTCAACTTCTCCTTCCCTCAACATCTCCTTCCCTTGACATCTCCTTCCTTCGACTTCTTCCCTCAACATCTCCTTCCCCCGACATCTCCTTCCTTTGAGATCTCCTTCCCTCAACTTCTCCTTCCCTCGACATCTCCTTCCCTTGACATCTCCTTCCCTCAACATCTCCTTCCTTCAACATCTCCTTCCCTCAACTTCTCCTTCCCTCAACATCTCCTTCCCTTGACATCTCCTTCCTTCGACTTCTTCCCTCAACATCTCCTTCCCCCGACATCTCCTTCCTTTGAGATCTCCTTCCCTCAACTTCTCCTTCCCTCGACATCTCCTCCCCTCGACATCTCCTTCCTTCAACATCTCCTTCCCTCAACATCTCCTTCCCTCAACTTCTCCTTCCTTCAACATCTCCTTCCCTCAACATCTCCTTCCCTCGACATCTCCTTCCCTCGACATCTCCTTCCCTCAACATCCCCTCAACTTCTCCTTCCATCGACATCTCCTTCCTTTAACATCTCCTTCCTTCAACATCTCCTTCCCTCGACATCTCCTTCCCTCAACATCTCCTTCCTTCAACATCTTCCCCCGACATCTCCTTCCTTTGAGATCTCCTTCCCTCAACTTCTCCTTCCTTCAACATCTCCTTCCCTCGACATCTCCTTCCCTCAACATCTCCTTCCTTCAACATCTCCTTCCCTCAACTTCTCCTTCCCTCAACATCTCCTTCCCTTGACATCTCCTTCCTTCGACTTCTTCCCTCAACATCTCCTTCCCCCGACATCTCCTTCCTTTGAGATCTCCTTCCCTCAACTTCTCCTTCCCTCGACATCTCCTTCCCTTGACATCTCCTTCCCTCAACATCTCCTTCCTTCAACATCTCCTTCCCTCAACTTCTCCTTCCCTCAACATCTCCTTCCCTTGACATCTCCTTCCTTCGACTTCTTCCCTCAACATCTCCTTCCCCCGACATCTCCTTCCTTTGAGATCTCCTTCCCTCAACTTCTCCTTCCCTCGACATCTCCTCCCCTCGACATCTCCTTCCTTCAACATCTCCTTCCCTCAACATCTCCTTCCCTCAACTTCTCCTTCCTTCAACATCTCCTTCCCTCAACATCTCCTTCCCTCGACATCTCCTTCCCTCGAGATCTCCTTCCCTCAACATCTTCTTCCTTCAACATCTCCTTCTCTCGACATCTCCTTCCCTCAACATCTCCTTCCTTCAACATCTCCTTCCTTCGACATCTCCTTCCCTCAACATCTTCCCTTATGCTCCTGCCTCCACCAACACCAAAGCCTCCACCAGCCTGGACACCACCAACCACCCACCATGGCAACCCCAAGTCTCACTTCTTGCAAGGACCATGGCTGCTACGAGAGGTTCCTTCCACCAGGAACATGTAGTGGAAGGAAGAGGGAAACCAGGGAGATGTTGCCTCCAGCCCAGCTGTCTCTCAGCCTTCCAGACACCGGTCACGCTCCCACTGCAGACCCTCCTGTCTCTCTGGTGGGCTCAGGGTTGACTTCACCTGCACGGTCCCACCCTGACACCACATCCCACGATCCACTCACACACGTGGCCCCCAGGGAGTCAGCAGCACTCACCAATTTCCTTCTGGTTTTCTGTAAGATAAAAAACGGAAGAATAATTCTCTCTCTTGGGCCACCACTTCTCCCTTTGACTCAACACCAAAGACCACAGAGCCTTCATGATGGAGACTGTCACCAACCGGACCCTCCAGTCATGAGAACATCCCACCAGCCCTGCCCAGTGCACACTGGGCCAGGAGAAGAGCCCAGGACCCCAGGAAGAGGACAACCATTGCGCTGGCAGGTGTCCACTTATGAGGTTGCATCGTGGGCAACCAAAGACGTTAAATTCTGAACATCAACACTTACCGGTCTTCCTCTGAAAGGGTGCTGAAAGGCAAAGACATCATGAATAGTAACTCCACAGCAGCTATTAGGACACCCCCCCAAAAAAATGAAGAGTCAAACCTGGCCCACAGCCAGCTGTGGGGCTGATTCTTCGCTGCCAAGAAGAACGGGGCAATGGGGACATAGCTCACCTACTAAAATAATGAGAAGAAGGAAGAAGACAATCCAGAAGTTACTGTTTTCTGAAAAATGGAGAAAAAGCAAGACAAAAATAACATCAATTGAGAAGTTACTGTTTTCTGAAAAATGAAGAAAAAGCAAGACAAAAATAACATCAATTTTCTTGCCGTGTAGCAGACGCATACGCATACGCAGGGTGGCCGTGGGGTCACATCATCTGAAATATTTGGACAACAGAAGAACACTTTCAGCCAAAAAAAAATTCATCTGGAAATACGATGAAGAACACAAAAAGTCTTAAAGAAAGCTGAAATGAGACTTTTGTAGTTGCATTTTAAATTCACTGTCCTGTGTCCGAGAATTTTCCACATACACATGCTCAAAACCAGATTTGAGGTAAACTGGGAAGTTGGTTGGTTTTTTTTTTTTTTTTCTCCTTGGGAAGTTAATTGCTGCGTACCTGACTGCTGAGCAATCTGTGGGTTGCATTCCCTATCAGTGGCCACAAAAGAAGGAGGGGGTTGTCCGCAGGGTATCTCAATGGAGCTTTCGATTGCAAAAATATTGTCCATCTCGTGGAGAATGCTTGTCTGGGCCAGTGAAGATAAATCTTCTCCTTGGGGGTTAACCCACATCACTTCGGGCTTTACGTAGGAACCTCTTATTCTGCCCTTGTATGTGCAAGTGTTTGACTGTGGCGCGATAATTTCGTTCATGGAACCTGTAACAGAGAAAATTTAACACCACCCCGTCTGGCACAATGCAGACATACCCGGTACACCGTGAAAGACATCTCATAGAACACCTGCACCGTAGTTGTTTCATCTTGAATCAAAACCATCTGGCTTTTGAGCATTTTAGTTTTACTAATTCCATACTTGAACGAGTCCTATGAGCTTTCTGTGCGTGAGATTGCAACAGCTGAAATAAACGAAACCAGGACTGTGTATGAGCTCTTCACAAACTGTAAGTGATACAGGGTGTTGCTTCAGGTGAGAAGGTAAAAAACCAAAGTGATGCTAAAAAGATGACAACACTCAGGTTCAGACTGTTAAAAATAAGGGAAAACTATGTTCACCTTGAGCTCTAGCTGAACTTGGCCCAAAGAGGCCGAACAGTGAGAAGATCGCTCTCAGCACTTTCCTGGGTCATCACGTTCATGACGTTCCTCTGAAGATGCCACAAGACCAACCCAAACCTCCATTGCCCAACAGCAAAGATTTCTCCTGAAGGGTAGGATTCTGCCAGATCCTTGGGGCTTCAGGGAAGGTACCAAGACCTGTCCAACTGCAGCTCTTCTGGTGAAAATTGAGGTGCCTGATTCCCTCAACAAAGCAGATGGGGGTGTAAAAACGTGACCTACCTGGCCGGCTTAGCTTGGATTTGGTGAGTTTGACTACGCACACCACGTCTACGTTATCGCAAGGCACCGTGATGATGCTTTGCACCGTGAAATGGTCTCTATCGCTCCAGGTGACGTTGGTCTTGGCCTCCACATTTACTGTGTCTCCTCCGTAGTTCATCCAAATCACGTCAGGCTTGGGGTACCATTGTTTCGACTTACACGTGTAGCGACACATCCTCTCCTCTTGCACATCCCTGTCCAGTGTTGGCTTATACCCCATCGCTGTAACAGAGTCAGTCCATGAGTATGAAACAGAGTTACTGCAAAAAAACAGCAACAACATCAAAATAAATCAACAAAACGCCGAAATCCTCATTATTTTGCTCTAAAAATTCCTAGCGCAAAAAAAAAGAACTACACATGGAGAGATCGAAGGGGCCAGTTACCTGGATTCCAACAGTGGTGAGCATCAGGGCATCTTACCCCGGAGATATAGGGAACCCTGGTGAGCCTGGGTGATCAAAGATCTAGAAAACTGTCTGGGAGTTTGGAAAATGGATGAGCACTGTCCACGTGGCTGAGGAGGATGTGCTACAGGTCCATAAAAACAGAATGGTGTGGAGGGGAAGGAGAGCAAGGAATTTTTTCATGTCTTGTCCAACACCAAAATGGGGCATCAAGCCTAGCACATGGAAGAAGAAGAAAAGAAAGAAAAGAAAAGAAAAGAAAAGAAAAGAAAAGAAAAGAAAAGAAAAAAAGAAAAGAGTGAAAAAAAGGAAGAAGGGAAGGGAAGGGAAGGGAAGGGAAGGGAAGGGAAGGGAAGGGAAGGGAAGGGAAGGGAAGGGGAAGGGGAAAAGCAGAAAAAGAGTGAGAAGGGAAGGGAAAGGAAAAGAGAAAAGAGAAAGAAAAAAGACAAAAAAGAAAAAAGAAAAAAAGAAAAAAGAAAAATAAATATTCATGGAATAGAAACAACTCTAGGTTGTTTATACAGGGATATTCAGCACCTCTGTAGGGATTCTATAGGGATATTCAGCATCTTAATGCAGTTCCCTGCTGCACTACTTCCCACCTGACAAGCCCTGTCCCCCTCCATGTCCAGCTTTTAGATACTGAGAACTGAAACAAGTCTTTCCAGCTACTTCCTCCGTCTTTGCTTATTTCCCCTTTTCTACAAGTAACCGTTACGCGTGACGGAGCCCTGCTTTCCTGGAGGTGGCCAAACACCTCCCTGCCCATGGGAAGTAGTGAATGAATTCCTCGTTTTGCTTTTATTGCATGTGCAGCTTTTGCTTTACCTGTCTTTATCTCAACTCATGAGTTTTTGTACTTTTACCCTTCTGATTCTCTCCTCCATCCCACCAGGGCAGGGAGTGAGGAAGCGGCTGGGTGGTGCTTCGCTGCCTACTGGGGTTGAACCACGACAAGGTCTCAGCTCTTGTTGTGGGTAAGGACTGAGCAGCAACCACACGCCGTGTGGTTGATCCCTTCCCCCGCCTTCCCCCTCCCGGTAAGATGGTGGAAAGAATAATAAAAAAAAAAAAAAGGTGGAACCTCATGAGTTGAGGTAACAACAGATTTTAAAAATACAACACGAGAATTAGAGAATGAACACACAGTGGAAAGACTTCACTGCACCAAAACCCCGCACAAGCCCCACACCCCTCTCCCAGCCAGCTTCCCCCTATATCCCGGGCATGATGTCAGCATGGGATGGAATATCCCCTTGGCTATGTCCACCTCCCAGCTTGGGTGAGAATTAACCCTATCCCAGCTGAACCCAGGACAGCTCTCCAGCAAGAAATAGGCAGAGCCGCAGAGTCATGGTGGAAACTGAGCTCAGGATGGTCATCAAAATTTCACTGTGAAAATCTCCCTGCTTACCCGTAACCTCAAGGCGAGTCGTAACCTCCTGCGTGACAACGCTGCCGTTCACTGCACAAACATACGTCCCCTCGTCGGCTATTTGCACACGCCGGATAACCAATAGAAGTGCTCTTCTCTGCCAGTGTCCCACAATCCTCCGCTGCTCTTCGTCCTGGCACTGCTCCACCACTCCACCCACGCTGGAGGAAGAGCACAGCGGAGCATCCCTCCCCTTTTCTGTTTTGTACCAAAGCACGCTCGTGTTCACGGGGATGCCGTCTGCCAGCTGGCAGGACAGCGTCACTTGCTCTCCAATGAGGACAACGGGCAGCTCAATGCTGATGGTGACGGACACTTCACCTGCAAGGAAGAGGTGGGAGCAGATGCATTGATTTTCCCCACCTTTCCCTTCCATAGAGGGAAGAAAGCCACATTTGTGAGCTGAATCCCAAACAGAGATCTGTGCTCTAGGTTAGCCTCGTACAATAGCGAGGAGAGAGTCTTGAGTGATTGCTACGCCGTCCTCCAGGTACCCATGAGCTTTACAAGTTACCAAATTTCCTGGTTTTATAGACGTTGGTTGTGTTACATGTACTCACAGATCACACTCATGGATATTTAAGAATTAATTCACGGATTGATTCAGGAAGACAACAGGTGGGCTCGTGCAAACCAAAGCTCACGGAGCTAGGAGTAAATTCCCACACCCGAGGTGCAAGGATCTGTGCGGTGATCTGCACGCTTGGCGAATTGACAACCTGCAAAGCGATCTCTGCAGGCTCTTGCTCTCCGCCGACACTGGCTTTGTGACCTGGGAGAGACTAAACATGCCTCCCTCGTGTCTGTAGTAAGATAATACACCTACGCCACTACCCTGAAAGAGCTGACACCCCAGAGCAGGACTGGGGTGTCTCCCATCATCAAGGTGGCTGATGTGATCCCAAACTGGGGCTTGGAGGTGTCAGACACCACGTACGATCTACAGTGCATCTGTTTCTTTAGGGAGGAGGAACAGAAGTGCAGGCGTAATATCTGAGGATAACGGGCTAGCTGGATACAACAGGGAGTATCTTACCTGTAGGCCACTTCCCAATTAAAGGATATATCAGTAGACCAAGGATCAAGACTAGTACAAGCTGGCTTATTGAGCACTTGTTCCATAAATCCTCCAAAAACGTCATGTGGGTCAAGTCAAATTACTTCTATTCCCCCCTGGAAAGGGATGATGTGAAAATGAGAAAGAATCCCTGAGAGGAATGAAACAGAAGGGAATGAATCTTGCTCAAGACAGAAACACAAAGGCAGATCCTGTGGGACTGTGTCATGTTGGTGGGGTCGCACACAGCTCCCGGCTCCTTTCTCTGAGGGAAATCGTAGAATCACAGAATGGAAGGGATAACCGAGTTCCACCCCCTGCCATGGGCAGGGCCACCTCCCACTAGCCCAGGTTGCCCAAAACCTCATCCAGCCTGGCCTTGAACCCCTCCAGGGATGGGGCATCCACAGCCCCTAGAAACTTTTCCAGGGTCCCATCTCGGAAGACTTGAGAAAAGTGATGTATTCCACCGAGGTGCAACGTGGCAGCTCATCTGTAAAGTCAGTTGTGACTTTACTCCCACCAGCCGCTCTCTTCTGTCTTTTACGGTTCTTCGCACAGCCTGGCGAAATCAATCAGCCCCGTATCTCCCAGCACACCCCATTCCCTATCTCTACGGCTGTGTTATCGCGCACCTGCAATCTCTCCGAACTCCAAGTTGGACCCTTGTCCTCTCTTAGTGCTGGTGAACTGCTGAAGGGCAGAAAAAAGAATTGTTCATTAGGGCAACAAAACTGGAGGAACAGTGAATGCTGCAAGGATGCACACCGTGACTTGCAAGGGTCTGGCATTTACTCTAAACACACAGAGTGTAAGAGGGAGGCGATGCAAGCAGAGTGCAGGAAAACAGCAGAGAGCGTTACTAATCGCCTGAGAGGCAGGTGTTATGGTTTGACCCATGACTGGTAGCAAAACACCACAACAGCCGCTCACTCACCCTGCTCTTTCCCAGGGATGGGGAGAGAATTAAAGGGTTAAAGGGAAAAGAGACGTGTGGGTTGAGATAAGAACGATTTAATAACTAAACTACAATAATATTGAAAATAATAAAGATATTAATAATAGTCTAGAGAAAAGGAAGCTGAGGGGAGACCTTATTACTCTCTGCAATGACCTGAAAGGAGGGTGCAGTAAGGTGGGTGCTGGGCTCTTCTCTAAAGCAACAAGTGACCGGACAAGAGGAAATGGCTTCAGGTTGCACCAGGGAAGGTTTCAGCTGGATATTAGAAAAAATTTCTTCACTGCAAGAGTGATCAGACATTGGAACAGGCTACCCAGGGAAGTGGTGGAGTCA